ATTGCGGATAGCTCGGTTGTCCGATTGCAGTGATTCAAAAACTTGTCTTCAGAACAAATCTAAGTCCAATATGCATGACACCAATAATACATACCTTCCATCGCCACAAGAATTATTGAACACCCCGATATGCTTAGAATTTCAGCACAATGTTGATTATATCATTTTGAATTTGTTTAAAACCCGGGGAATAATTTTCAGCAATAAGGTAGGATTCAATGTAGAACATGATCTCTTCATGTTGAATATTTTATTCTACATTGTTTATTTTATTTATTTCAGCATAATAAAATCTTCTCTTATTTTAGAGTTTCTTGTTCAGTTGTAAAAAAAAAGAAGAATAAAATTTTGATTCTATCCTCCTAAGACCAAAGGTAATTACAGATTTTTATCAACTGATCAAATATAAATATTTTACTTCTTATCTGCTTTACTTCGTGCATCATAGAGTTTGCATTAAGGACGATGCAAAATTTAGGTGTGGGGGTGAGAATTAGTTATTTTTTTCTCTTTATTTTACATTTTTAGTTGCATTTTTGTCATTTTTTTTCCTTTTCCTTAAAAAAATTATAAAAATATCATCACTTGCCAAATTGATAGAGTTATGTAATAATTGATTTATTTGATAACTTTGTGCTATGCCTTCATTGTTTCTCTAGCTTTAAGAAGAATTCTTGGGACATTTAAAACCTATAAGTAGGTAAGCGATCATTAAATAGCGCGTGATAGTTAAAATTGACATTGAAAACTGCTATTAGATTCCCAAAATAGTCATAAATTGTACGTTGTCAAATTAGAGCTTTGCTACAGGGACCCAAAATATAGGACCAATAGAGGGGACAAGTGAGATGTCTCCCATCTATTGGATAATGAGTTGGCCATCATTAATGATGGCCAACTCATTATCCAATAGGTGGGAGACAGCTCACTTGTCCCCTCTATTGGTCCCATATTTTGGGTCATTGAGGAATTTTTCGTCAAATTAATCCCTCTGATTCCTTCTTCTACTCCTGTGAGTTAACAAAACTTAAAGTTTTTAAGTTGTTCCGTATCTTGTAACAAGGCATCAGTCCATATTTGAAACAAGAGCAAAGTTTTATGACATGTTGAATCAAGCTTCATCTCCTTGGCCTTTACAAAGTTACGTCAATTGAGTCATCTTCAACTTCTATGATCGCATCCCTCTAAACGTTTCCATAATACAATTTGTATATGATCATAATATATCATTCAAAGTGCACATGCATATACACAATACTCCTAAAAAACCCACAACTTAAAAGAAAACACATGCACGAGATACTACAATTTTCTAATTATCTGAACATTCATCGTCATCTTCTTCCCTCGAGGCACCAACTCAAATACGCATCTATCACCAATATTCAACTTGTTAGCCTGAGCAAACTCCAGCCATCCTCTGGCGATGTGGGTCCCGGACCCGCTTGCCGGAGGAGTTTTTCTATGAAAGATTTGAGTTTCCCATAATCGGAGCTCTGGGTCCTTGAGGGTAATCTCCTTTAGATGACTTAGTTCGCTGCATTGTCTAATGACTCCGATTGGGAAATACTGCATGATCAATTCAATTATACAAGGTTAAACCCTTGATTGATGACATAATACAATAAGTTAATAAAGTTAAAGAAGAAATGATATGCTAACCATATAAGGCTTAGTGAGGTTATAAAAGGTCATTTTAGCCTCAAAACACACGTGTGGGACTGTCGCCCTTCCTCCCGAAGATCCTGTAAAGAAATCAAGATCGTAAGAAATCAATCAAAGTGTGCTTGGCAGCCTTTTAAAGTTGAGCTAGGACCACCCAACCTGCCCTAATTTTAAGTAATTTCTTATCTAGCAAAGAACTACTTTTTGAGGGTCAAAATTTAGCTTCTAAACCTGTTCTATTTTGGACAGTTCCTGAACCAGTTCCCCATTTTGGACCACCCCTCACATAGTACGAAATAGAACCGGTGTACGATAAAACCGCATTGTCTACCAAGCCCACTAAATCAATGTCGTAACGATCGTTTTCCTTTTAGGGGCTGTTTGGTTGGTTTCCTTGAAATAAAGGAAAAAGAAAATTGAGAATAGAAACAATTAAAAATGGTTTCCCCTCATTTCCTTACAACAATCTAGGAAATAAATTTCCTTTTAAGTATGAGTCGCGTCAGCCAATGAGAACGTGCCGCGTAATCTTTTCGCTCCGTTTAGACGTGTGAACCAAAAAAAGAAAGAAAACAAGAAGCGCGTACTCGAATCAGGAGCCTCCTCCGGCCGTTCGTTGGCGTCGTCGTCGAGCTCCTCTTCTTTTACGACGACGTAACGAGGATCGGCTCCGGCGGCGCGCCTCTTCTCCGGGCCGCGCCTCCTCTCGAGGAGGAGGCGCCGACGGTGGGGTAGGCCACCTCGCACGCTGCTCAGGTCGTAGGCGCGGAAATCGAAGACCATGCCGCCCCGGTGGCGGAAAGACCAGGAAGAAGCCGGCCTCAAACCATGGCGTGCAGAAAGTTCCTCCAGGAACCCCCTCCGAAGTACGCCCGCCCCCTCGTCGCCGCCGTCGTCAAAAAACTGATACGGACTCGCCCATGCTCTGCACGTGGGCTTCACCAGTTCGGCTCTCCTGCTTACGCGTCTCTCCGTCGACGTGATACGAAAGCACGAGGCAACGACTGCGTTCACAAAAAAAAAAAAAAAAAAACCATTAAGAAAAAAGTTAAAAATTAACCTAAATAATTAAAAACATGCAAGTTAACGGAGAGATAAAATTACCAATTTTTGGGAGAAGCCTGATAAGAGAACTCTAAAGAATCTTGTAACTTGAGATGCACCGACAACTGATCTCTCTTTAACCATTGTTTGGGAAAAAAAAAAGAAGAAGACGGCAGAAAAACCCTAGAAAATTTTGACTACTGTTCTCTGCAGAGGAAGGGGGAAAAAAATACTAGCGGAAGTTTGAGACCCTAATTTTTTGGTTTTGTATAATTAATTTAGTTGTCCTTTTATTATTGGAAAAAGGAAATAGAGCGAGATTTGTTTTCCGAATATACCCTTCGCTGCTTGTTTTAGTATATTTTCTGTTTTAATCGGCCGTATGTATCTATGTAAAGTAAATACTGCAAATATAGGCAGACTATATTAATTTGGAGAACAATTTCTTATTACTGAGAAACTTTCATAAGTCGCGTTGACTGGTTATTATTGTAAATTCAGCCCTGGATTGTTAGTCCTGATAGGAATTGAAGAGTCGCGGGGAAAATCTCTTTAAAATATTATAACAATCCTGATAGGAATTGAAGAGTCGTGGGGGAAATCTCTTTAAAATATTATTAGTATTTATAAATTAAAATTCTTTTAGTTTTAGATCCATCATATTATTCGTATTTACAAAAAGTTGATGTAAGGTATTAAGAGCCTGCAACATATATAGAGCCATTTATGAAAGGTATGTGATATATTGGAAACTAACTACATGGTTTAAAAAAAAATTAAAATTCCAAAAAAAAAAAAAAATTAAATACATTAATCGCCGTCTGTGGGAATCGAACCCACGACCACAGGATTAAAAGTCCTGCGCTCTACCAGCTGAGCTAAGACGGCTTTCTTTCTAGGCGTAAAGTCTTGTTATTTTAAGTCAACAATAAATAACAATATGATTCGTCACATCGTCAAGTTCAGGCCATCTTGTTTTTTATATCCTTCGGCAAGCATCCTCATTCTTCTCTTCCAAAACAACAAAGGAGGCTTCAATTATTTATCTTTATTGATCAAGAAGAAAAGGGCATAATTGTAATTTATTCATTAAATCCACATTCATCAACTACAGCAATATATCCTGCACATTTCCTTGTACAATGAAAGAGAACATTTCTACTTCTTCTGTGACTTGAGCTCTGCAACTCTTTCTTCTGTACCCTTCAAGGCTTCTCCATAGATTCTTATTAACTGACAATAAATACAAGAATACATATTAATAATACTGATCTTCAACAAATGTAAACCTTTAAATAACAAAAATCCAAACGAAATTAAACCTTTTACTTGGGTAAAGTTGGTTATGTAATACGAGATTGCTAATTGAGGTGTCGAGGTTTCAATGGATTTTCACTACTACATTTTAGCAAATTTCAACATCACTACGCTTTCTCGGCAACTTGTTATAAATAGAACTTTGATTTATAAGTAACATCTTCATTTTAGCAAATTTCAACAGATCAAAATTTGCATTAATAAGCTTACTTCTTCAACTTCTTCAGGTGACATTATAAATGGTGGCGACATCATAATGCTATCGCCAGCAACTCTTACTAGCATTCCCCGCTTCTCACACTCTGCTCCAAATATTGCTCCGACCCCTGAGATCAACATTAAATTACAAGCATAAATAATCAAGCTGTTGGGAATTTGCAAAATACATATTGCATAAAATGCAGATACATATAACTATATGAGTTGAGTTTGCTGTATTGCAATAATTTGTGAAAATGGTTAAATTGGCAAGAGAACATATCATGTAATTTGGTAAGATGAATATGGGACTTACCCCATTCAGATGGGAAAAGATCATTAGGAGACTTGTTATCGGTGAACTCTGTTCCAAGAATCAATCCAGTCCCTCGAATCTGCGAACGAAATGTGATACTCAGTTTCAGTTTTAAACTTGAATATGAATTATTTTTCTGAAAAAAATATCAAGGATGAAAAGAGTACCTCCCCAACGATGGGACTATCTGCAAAGGCTTTAATACCTTCTTGAAACCTAGGAGCTATTGCCTATAAACAAATATGAAAAGTGAATACACTAGTCGACTCTAACTTTAAGAGGACACTTACTTAATTGAGATTGATTTTACTTATAAATTTTAAGTGCTTCCAATGCAACAGCACAAGCTACTGGATGCCCTGAGTATGTGAACCCATGAGAAAATGAACCTGGACAACAAATTGCATTTTGGTGAGAAAAAAATACGACTTCCACAAAATAAAATGAATACACAACTGAAAACGAAGAACGTTACCAAGTTTGTTGCTTTGAGAGTGTATCACTTCTGAAATCTCAGGGCTAGCAAGGATCGCACCAATTGGCATGTATGCGGACGAAAGAGCCTACAAATTCAATTATCAGAAAAGTAAACCAAAAGTGCAAATTGTAAGTTGAGTTGTACACTAACAAATCTTTATATCATCTACATTTAGCCAACCTTTATAATTTTGGTTCACGCATTTAGGTAGGAAAATGTAATTTCTGGGCTCTTGTTGTATACCTCTCTGCATCAGGCTACTATCATTTATATTTTGTATTGTACTCTATCACTTTATCATAATATTGGCTTAGGCTTTTTTTTCCTTCCAAACATTTTCCCCCCTTCTATGACTCAATTTGGCAATAAGGAGAACTCACTCACTTTGGCAAAAGAGACAAGGTCAGGTTGGATATTGTATTTATCGCATCCAAACATTGTGCCCAACCTTCCAAATGCAGTAATAACCTGAAGTTAAATGGGAGGAAAGGAAATTAATATTAAAATGATATTCTATTTGAGAGGCAAAGAAATTCAAGTGGAAAAAAAGGTCTGATTACCTCATCCGCAATAAAAAGAATATCATACTTCTTTACAACAGCTTGTATCTTCAGTTCCAGAAAATTAACATGAATGGAAAATGCAAGCATTATTGAATTAGTATGAGAGAATGTTGACTTCACAATGAGATAACAAAATAATTACTGCACCTTAGACTAACAAGTAACAAGTAAAAAAGCTCCATAGTCATAAGGATGAAAAGGTTGGCTGAATATTTCCTGAAATAAAAGAAATTACATGGGGATTGTTACTATTACCTTCTCGAAGTAAGTGTTTGGGGGAGGGATAACGCCTCCAGCACCCATGACAGGCTCAGCGATGAATGCAGCAATCTGATAATATAAACATAACAATAATATAAACATAACATATCAACATCTTATCTTATCCTTCTTCTTCTTCTTCTTTTTAATAAGTAGGGGAGATGACTTTTTGGCTTCCAAAATAACCTATAGAAGAGAGAACATTACCGTGTCTGGTCCTTCTTTGAGTATAAGATTCTCCAAGTTATTTGCCATCCTTGATGAAAACTCTTCCTCAGTCTCACCTGTTTCAAAATTGTTTCATGGTTGAAACCATAATGAAAACGAGGAGGACTGAAAAATAATTTAACTCATTTTTATTCAGAAACCTGGTAGATGGAAACGCCAATAATGAGGGCAATCTGTATGCAACACAAATGGTACTGGTAGATCAAACTTTTGATGTAGAGCTGGAAGTCTGCATAGGAAAAAAAACCATTAATAATATCCAAAGGAATAAATAATCTACGAGTTAGAGAAAAACATATAAACGATAAAACATTACCCAGAAAGACTAGCAGATATCAGAGTTGATCCATGGTATCTGTCAAAATCCAAAGATTAAGGATATGTATATTATTAAGCAAACTAAATGTCCATTGCGCAATACTATTTCTTTGTAAAAAAATACTGCAGCAATCTAATTAGCATACGATTTTGCACGTGCTATGAATTTCTTCTTATTAGGCCTTCCAAGCGCATTGTTATAATACCAGACCAGCTTCACCTGCAAGCAAATAACTCCTAGTTAAAGCACTAATATATAATCAAATTTCAGCAGTACTTTTCATGTTCTCAATCAATTTATGGTGACTATATTGCCCCACTAATATATAATCAAATTTCAGCAGTACTTTTCATGTTCTCAATCAATTTATGGTGACTATATTGCCCAACCTCTCAAAGTTAAGGAAAAAGCAGTACTTTTCATGTTCTCAATCAATTTATGGTGACTATATTGCCCAACCTCTCAAAGTTAAGGAAAAAGAAGAAAAGGGTGAATAACTGAACGTTATATTGGCAACATATAAAGATACAGATTGAGTGGGTCCATCATAAAGAGCATCAGTTGACGGTAATTGTAATGCGTCTATACTTCAACAATGTAATATTGCAACATCATGACAGATAAATGTAAGTCCATCTACTCTCGATGAATATTTCCAGGTCAAATTCGGATCAACTAGAAACTTGACGAATATTTCTAGCCCTTACTTGGGTCAATTTGAAACTCAATGAATATTTCTAACCCTTACTTGGGTCAATTGACAAACAGAAACTAAGAATACAGAAACAAACCTGAGAATCATTTGCTTCTGAACCACTGTTGGTGAAAAATACTTTTCCCATCTTTCTTGCAGTAAAAATCTCAAGAAGTTCTTTTGCAAGATCCTGTAAGAACGTAAACATAGAAATTCAGCATACATTTGTGCTAGTGTTTCTGAAGGCTTGCCAGCTACAGAAAATAAACCAACAAACATTGCAACAATGGCACTTTAGAAAACAAGCGAGCAAAAAAAAGAAGAGGAAACAGAAACAAGGACCGTTTCTAATATGAAAAAGGGCTTTACAGTAAAAAAATTTGGTAACTACTTATTGAACGTAACAGAAAATTGATAAAATTTTCTCAGACTTATTTGATTATATCCG